TGCCCAGCGCCGACGCCTGTGGCCCAGCTGCAGCAGCCCGGGGGTCGCACTGCCTCTGCTGGGGCCCAGGCCGCACGGGGCCTTCCCCGACACGGACGAGACCAGCGCCTACCCTGCCCGCGAGCCTGGGCCTCCGTTAGAGGGAGCGAGCCGAGGCGCTCGGGCTTTTGTTGCTGCCATCTCATGTCTACAGCGCCGAGCCCGGCGCACCCCCTGGAGACAGCGCCCTCCTCCAGGCGGCGGGACAGCCCGCGGCCCCGGCCCGCGCGGCCCCCTTTTGTTTTCATCTCAGCACCGACAGGCCGATGCAGATCGATGCTTGAACGTTGCCTCGAGGGGAAAGCAAGGCACCGCCAACACAAACCAAGCCCGCGCGCAAGCACAGCAACAACCCCGGGTCCCGGCTTGGGCCCGCAGGGCTAGCCGAGCGCGCCAGCAAACAAACAAAAGGAAAAAGAAGGATTTGCAAAGCTCCTCGGAGCTCGTCCCAGCGCCACGCTCCGGCGTGGTGGGGGGAAAGAAACCTCGGGGCAGGCTGCGTTTAACCCGGAGCGTCTCCAAGCAAAGAGCGAAGGGGCTGGGCCGGGCAGAAACTTGCTCAGGCGGGAGGGCAGGTATCCATCAAAGTCTCATCTTGGCCAGCCAACACGTGATTGTTTCCAGTTAGCAGGGCCCTGTTAGCAGAGGCAAAAGATTTCCTCCGAGTCCACTGCTCTGTCCTGCAGAGGGCAGATGCTGCTCGGTTTCTGCAGACAAGCCGGTGGGATATTGACCGAGGACTTTAAATCTATACCCAGCTTAAACATTTTACCCATCAGCATGTCTGCGGTCACAAAACACTTCTTCTTTCTGTCACTTTTCCTTCCAGCCTATTGATAAGATCATTTAGCCGAATCTGTTTGGGATGAGTGTAATATTGACTAGGAGTTAGAAAAGATGATTAAAACTAATAAGCCCAGGCACTATCCTTCCGCGGGGGGAGGCGGGCTATATTGTGCGTATTAAACCGAGCAAGCCAAAAACGATTTTAACACATGAGCACATGTGTTAACACTGCTCAGTTTGATTTCCCCCTCCGATATGCTAGTCTCCCAAAGCCCTGCATTTCATTCAGCAGTGAGATGCTGGGCTGGGCTCTTGCCTTCGGAAGTGTGCGGTTTGTTAGAAACACAGCCTGCCAGGGTGCGGGCGCGGGGCTGAGTGTGTGTCTGTGTGCGTTTGAAGCTACGACGAATTTACTGGCTCTTTATGCAATACCGGTCCTTTATACTGTCTGTCTTCATAACCACTGAAACCAACTAAAAATCCACCCTCAAAATCCATTCCAGCTTGCACATGGCAGCCTCGCGAGCTCTAGGCGTGTGTCTACCACCATTAGACAGCCTTTTGCTTCCACTCTTATTTTTAACAAGTATTCCCTATAATTAAGCTCCGCCTTTTTTCAAAGAGTAAGATCTGAAATGAACAAAAAAGGGCTGACTAGAGAGAGAAGTCAATTTTCCGTCCACGCTGTCAACGAATATAAAAAGGACTTACTTCAAGAACAGATTTCTGCATATAAGCATCCAAGGAAGGACACAGGCAGGATTCAACGCTTTTTAAAAATAATAATAATTAAAAAACACCGTCCTGATGCGGTTAAATGTTTGAAAAGACAAAATGGAAACGGCACCTGGCGTTTCACTAAAAGACTTTGGAAGTTACAGGCTGGAACCCGTCGGTAGAGGCATGAAAATTTATTCCAAAACTCCATGAAATATAAAGGAAGGGATGGCGGTGTTTTAGACAGAGCTCAACTCAGGAGAAGTACTAGGGTTGGGTTCCCCTCCAAATTGTAAGAACTATGCAAATCAGTGCTATCTTTCCAAATAAAATAAAGGTATTTCAATAATTAGAACAAACTATGAAGGTATTGTGCATTTCTGTTTTATGTAGATAATAAAATATTACTTTAACATAAATATATAAGGATCTCTGCGTTTTTATTTTTCCCCACAAGCACATCCAAATGTACCAAAACAAAGTATTTTTAAAGAGACTGAACCAAAAAAAAAATTACATCCCATATAGATTTTGTTCACCTACTCATTTAAAGCTACAGAAAAAACAGTTTCCAGAACCTGTTTGCTTTAAAAGAAATAAATATACATTGAGGCAGGCCACTTAAAAATGATATGAAAATATTTCCCTGGGTAGCATTTAAAAAAAAAGAAAAAATAGACAAAGAAAACAGTTAAACTATTTCTGCATTTCAAAGGACAAATATTAAACATATATACATAGTGGTAAGGTTTGCGTGGTAACTTTTTTTTTTTTTAAGTAAACCTATTTAGAGCTAGAGGATCTTCTCAGGCATCCTCTGAACCCCGTTTTCTGACCTTACACACATATTAATAAGTGTCTGAAAGTTCATTTCCTCCCTTTACCACTGGATCTGCCCTGATCTGAATCGCTTTGCTAGGAACTGGTCCTCAACAGATAAAATAGCAAGCAGCTCAATACATCCAAAAAAACAAAAACCCAAAACAAAAAACAAAACTCAGTGCCCGTATCATTGTGACAATTGTTGGAAAAATAGAAAGTTAAAAAAAAAAAGGCAAATGCATATGTATTTTAGAAATCAGCGTTTGTCTTAACAAGGGAAGGGGTAAAAAGAAAAGGAAAGAAAAAGAATCAGCTGTCACAGGCGCTTTAGAAGACAGTAAGAAACACATTGTAAAGCCTTAAGGACTGGATGCACTGTTTATAGGATCGATCAGCGAGAGAATCTGTCCACGTTTTCCTCATAATGGTCGAAAATTCAACTAAGCAAACTTTTTGGATTATAAAAAATGTTTCCCCCCCCCCTCACTACAGCGCCCTTTTGTGCTGACTAAAGAATTCATTTGCGAATGTGTAACTATCACACTTTAAAGTCCCCCCTGTGTGTGTGTGTGTGTGTGTGTGTGTGTGTGTGGTTGTGTATACCTTCACACACCCACACACACACACACACACACACACACACACACACACATGCACATATTGTTTCAACTTCTCTCTCCAATGTTCCCCTTTAGAGCTTTGTGTTTTGGGCAAGTTAACCGTTTCCTACCGAGATTGTGTTGAGAAATGCATTTTTAATCTCTCAAGAAAGGGGCCAAAAATAGCATTGAAAATCTCCCTTTTTCTCTGTTGTTTGGGTTTTTGTTTCCCTTCATTTCACTCCCCAGTGAGCGAGCCAAGGCTGGCTAAATTAAGCTGGTCTATTCGTGCAATGTATTATCTATCCTGCAAACTGAGCAGAGGGCGCGAGGTGCTAAAAGTGAATAGAAAAATAAATATGGAAAGCAGCGGAAAATGAAATGCTCTACACTTAGGCAGGCAGAACCGTGTCCTGTGTGTTTATAGCTACATATAAACACACACAGGCACACACAGAGTGCAGGTCCTCGGTTTCTAGCTTGATGATGGAGCAGCTCAATGAAACAAAGTTTAGAGGCTGACATCAGCCCAGTGCTCCCGTGCGATGCAATGGTGAACGCTGAAGGCACACACAGGACTCGGCGAATGGGGTTGCTACAGCTAACTACTCCTCTACCCCCCTGGTCCTCGCCAAAGTGCTACTTTCTTTCTGTTGGAAAACTCCGGGAATGTTATTTTTACCTCCACACTTCCCCCGCAGCTCTTTCACAATGGGCCTGGCTTGCTAAAATGAAGCACTCGGTCTCTATTGATTTCTCTTTGCCTTCCCCAAGCCTAAGAAACACTGCCTGAAAATGAAGTTTACTTTGTGGGCTGGCATTATTCTTCCTTCTCCAAACTGGACTCTCGCCTTTCAAGCCGGGTATTAAACATCTGCAAGAGTCATATCGCTTGAAAGTGGAAGTTGTTTGTCTTTGTACGTGTGTATACATACATATATATACGTATATAAATATCTCTATATAGAGAGAGGATACATACGCGGTGGCTGTCCCTACTTGCTCCATATAGATATATCTGTACCTATCTATATATATATATATATGCAGAGATATAAATGCAGATATATATACACATAAATATGTGTATATATAATGTATACTACATATACATATATCTGCTATGGTAAAAGGAGAAAATAAACATTCACATACTGAAGAAGACTGGTTTATAACAGAAATTCATATATACACATAAAGCAAGGGCTGTAACACAGTAATATAATTGTCGACCGGTCAAGGGTTGGCTAACGCTCACCGTGGAAAATGCAAGTCATTTTCAAAAACAAGGCGGGGGAAAAAAAGAAAAGAAAAGAACAGAAATGAATTTGTTTCTGTAAACTTCCATTTTCTTGCAGTGCAAATGTATCTGGTTAAATACTGTCTACCTCCAAAGGGGTTTCTTTTTATTATGACTAGCGTTATTTTACTCCTAACGGGGATCCACAGGAAATAAACACAGTAACCATGTGCCAAATACTGAGCATCGCTCCCAAATTAAAGCTGCCTTTGTGCTTAGCAGGGCTTGGGGCCGATTCCTGGCGCTTTCTGGCGGATCTATTCTTTTTGTTTTTGTTTTTTAATATATCTATCTCCTCTCTCTCTCTCTTGCTTGCAGTTAATTCAGCTTTTGGAAAACACTTTTCAGTGCCTGGCGGGCTGTGTGTAACTAGCTGCCTGTCTGGTGGCTGTGTGCGCGATACTCACTCCCACTCCATTGCATGGGCACTCGCCTGTAAAGGTCAAAACACATCATTACACCTGCTACCGCTCAGAGGATATATCGTCCAGCGCAGCTGCTCAGCGGTGTGTGTGTGTGTGTGTGTGTGTGTGTGTGTTTAAGAGAGGGGGAAATAAAATAAAATTAAAAACGAGAAGAATCAAAAGTTGGAGGAGGAGGAGGAGGAGGAGGGGGCAGCCCCCCGGGCCCTCCCCCCGCTGCGAGTTCACTGCACGGGGGTCTGCACCCCATGGTGCGGTGGCGTGTCCCTACTTGCCCCATAGACATCCTCGGCTCCCGGCAGAGTCCCTCCCGGGGGAGTCATGCGTTTCTCTTTCTGTCTCCTGTTACAAAACCACACTCTCACCACCTCCTTCTCCAGCTGTAGGCTGTCCGCCAGCGAGGTGATCTCCTGGGCGGAGGGCTTGGGGCACTTGAGGAAGTGGCTCTCCAGGGCGCCCTTGACGCTCACCTCGATGGAGGTGCGCTTTTTCCGCTTGCGGCCCTGCGCCGCGATCTTGTCTATGCTGGTGGGGCTGCCCGAGGACGAGTCCGCCTCCTCCAGCCACTTGTTCAACAAAGGCTTCAGCTTGCACATATTCTTGAAGCTGAGCTGCAGGGCCTCGAACCTGCAGATGGTGGTCTGCGAAAAGACGTTCCCGTACAGCGTGCCCAGCGCCAAGCCCACGTCCGCTTGGGTAAATCCCAGTTTGATCCGGCGCTGCTTGAACTGCTTGGCGAACTGCTCCAGGTCGTCCGAGGTCGGCGTGTCCTCGTCCGAGTGCGGCTCGTGCGGGTGGTGCGCGTGGTGCGG